TTTGTCGGAGAGTCAAAGAATGCATTCTTGATGGACGCACAGACTCAGTTCTTTGTGTGCACTGTGAACCAGACTCAGTTCTTTGTGTGCACTGTGAACCAGACTCAGTTCTTTGTGTGCACTGTGAACCAGACTCAGTTCTTTGTGTGCACTGTGAACCAGACTCAGTTCTTTGTGTGCACTGTGAACCAGACTCAGTTCTTTGTGAACCAGTTAAGTTTTAATCTTATTTAAAAAATGAAACCTGTCCTCCCGAGTGGCACAGCCATCTAAGGCACTGCATTGCAGCGCTAGAGGCGTCACTACAGACCCAGGTTCGATCCCGGGCTGTATCACAACCGGCCGTGATCAGGAGTCCCATAGGGCGGCGCACAATTGGCCCAGCGTCGTCTGGGTTAGGGGAGGGTTTGGCCGGGGGGTTTACTTGGCTCATCGCGCTCTAGCGACTCCTTGTGGCGGGCCGGGCGCCTGCAGGCTGACCTCTGTCGTTAGGTGAACGGTGTTTCCTTCGACACGTTGGTGCGGCTGACTTCCGGGTTAAGCGGGCGGGTGTTAGGAAGCGTGGTTAGGCGGGTCATGTTTCAGAGGACGCATGCCTCGACCTTCACCTCTCCCGAGCCCGCTGGGGAGTTGCAGCGATGAGACAAGATCGAAATTGGGGAGAAAAAGGGGGGTAAAATACAACAAAAATATTAAATAAAACAATTTATCCTGATTGTGGGACGTCTCAGTGTGCAGTCATTTAGATTAGATTGAACTACATCACCAGTAGAAGAGGAGGAGTCTGTGGAACACAGCTCTTCTCTACGTTATCAGAACTTTACGTTATCGTTACTTTATCAGAACTTGATGTTCAAATAGAATGCATTGAAACACCTTGTATTGAGAGGAAGAAATGACAACAGAGCTTTTTCAGCACACTAATAAACCTTTATTCTTGCTTCTGAAAGTAAACCACAATACAAAAGTGTCTTTGTGAATATAAATATTTCTGAACAATAGTACAACAGTGTCTGTTATGAACAGACATTTAGATAACAAAAGGGTCAAATATAAAGTGTCAAGAGTGTAGATATAAATATTTCTGGGCAATATAAATATTTCTGAACAGTAGTAATACAGTGTCTGTTATGAACAGACATTTAAATAACAAAAGTGTCTATGGAAAAAAATGCAGTGTCTAGTGTCTGGTGAGGAGAGGAGGAGAGGAGGGGGGACATTAGGAGTATCTGGAGAGCAGTGTGCATGGAGAGGAGAGGAGGAGAGGAGGAGAGGAGGGGGGACATTAGGAGTATCTGGAGAGCAGTGTGCATGGAGAGGAGAGGAGGAGAGGAGGAGAGGAGGAGAGGAGGGGGGGCATTAGGAGTATCTGGAGAGCAGTGTGCATGGTGAGGAGAGGAGGAGAGGAGGAGAGGAGAGGGGACATTAGGAGTATCTGGAGAGCAGTGTGCATGGTGAGGAGAGGAGGAGAGGAGGAGAGGAGGGGGGACATTAGGAGTGTCTGGAGATCAGTGTGCATGGAGAGGAGAGGAGGAGAGGAGAGGGGACATTAGGAGTATCTGGAGAGCAGTGTTGCATGGTGAGGAGAGGAGGAGAGGAGGAGAGGAGGGGGGACATTAGGAGTATCTGGAGAGCAGTGTGCATGGAGAGGAGAGGAGGAGAGGAGGAGAGGAGGGGGGACATTAGGAGTATCTGGAGAGCAGTGTGCATGGAGAGGAGAGGAGGAGAGGAGGGGGGACATTAGGAGTATCTGGAGAGCAGTGTGCATGGAGAGGAGAGGAGGAGAGGAGGAGAGGAGGAGAGGAGGGGGGACATTAGGAGTATCTGGAGAGCAGTGTGCATGGTGAGGAGAGGAGGAGAGGAGGAGAGGAGGGGGGGCATTAGGAGTATCTGGAGAGCAGTGTGCATGGAGAGGAGAGGAGGAGAGGAGGAGAGGAGGAGAGGAGGAGAGGAGGGGGGACATTAGGAGTATCTGGAGAGCAGTGTGCATGGAGAGGAGAGGAGGAGAGGAGGGGGGACATTAGGAGTATCTGGAGAGCAGTGTGCATGGAGAGGAGAGGAGGAGAGGAGGAGAGGAGGGGGGACATTAGGAGTATCTGGAGAGCAGTGTGCATGGTGAGGAGAGGAGGAGAGGAGTAATACATTAATAATAATACATTAATTGCACTATAACGGAGTCAAACCATGCCCACAAACTGTTAGGGCCTCCATAAAGAGTGGCGCAGTGGTCTAAGGCACTGCATCGCAGTGCTAGCTGTGCCACTAGAGATCCTGGTTCGAATCCAGGCTCTGTTGTAGCCGGCCGCGACCGGGAGACCCATGGGGCGGCGCACAATTGGCCCAGCGTCGTCTACAAGCATTATTTTGAGTTTTTCTTTGCACTTGCAATACAGTCTTGCAAAACTCTGCATCTAGTATTTCGATTGGATGTTTGTCCCATTTGGTAAATTCAGTATTAGAGAGCGGACCCCATACTTCGCTGCCATATAGAGCAATTGGTTCTATAACTGATTGGAAAATTTTGAGCAAGATTCTAATTGGAATTTCGATTTTAATGTTCCTTTTAATGGCATAGAATGCTCTTCTTGCTTTGTCTCTCAGCTCGTTCACAGCCATGTGAAAGCTACCTGTGTTGCTGATATTTAGTCCTAGATACGTGTAGTTCTTGTTGTGTTCTAATAGAACTGTGTCCAAATATAATTTATATTTGTCATCCTGATTTGCGGAACTCTTTTTGGAATATGTTTATTTTCTGGTTTTTTAGGTTAAGTGTCAGGGCCCAGGTCTGACAGAACCTGTTGCAGAGGATCTAGATGCTGCTGTAACCCCTCCTTAGTGGGAGACAGTAGCACCAGGTCATCTGCGTACAGCAGACACTTGATTTCAGTGTTGTGTAGGGTGAGACCAGGTGCTGCCGATTATTCTAATGTTTTTGCCAATTCGTTAATGTAGATGTTAAATAGTGTTGGACTTATTGGGCAGCCCTGTTTCACTCCATGTCCCTGAGATAAGTATTTTTGCTTGTTGCCAATTTTAACTGCACATTTGTTTTTAGTGTACATTGATTTAATAACATAATATGTTTTCCCTCCAATACCACTTTCTATTAGTTTATAAAAAAGACCTTTGTGCCAAATTGAATCAAATGCTTTCTTGAAGTCTACAAAACATGAGTAGATTTTTCCTTTGTTTTGGTTTACTTGTTTGTCAATTAGAGTGTGGAGGGTATAATTGTGGTCTGTTGTGCGGTAATTTGTTAAAAATCCAATCTGGCTTCTGCTCAGGATGTTGTGTTCATCAAGGAAATGATGTAGCTGTCACGATTTCCTCCGAAGCTGTCTCCTCTCCTTGTTTCGGGCAGGCTTCGGCGTTCGTCGTCACCGGCCTTCTAGCCACTGCCGCTCCTCATCTCATCATTCCATTTGTCTTGTCTTGTTTATTACACACACCTGGTTAATTTCCCCTCATTAGTACCTGTTTAAATGTTCCCTCTGCCCCCCTTGTCCTTGTGGGTGATTGTTCATTGTGAGGATTAGTAGCTCGGTTGAGCTCAGTATTTTGTATTGCCGGGGTATTTTCCCCGTGTGCATGTTCGTTCCAGTGCGCCTGTTTTTCCTCTGCAAATTCCTCTGTATTCCTCTGCAAATTCCTCTGTAATTATTTGGGTCAAATTTGTCTCCATTTTTACAGATTGGTGTGATTAAAGCCTTGGTTCCAAATATCGAGGAAAATACCTGCAGTGAGGATGTTGAAGAGTTTGAGTATAGCCTATTTGAATTTGTGGTCTGTATATTTGATCATTTAATTTAAAATACCATCAGCACCACAGGCCTTTTTGGATTGTAGTGTATAGTTTTTCCAATAATTCTTGTTCCGTAATTGGGGTATCCACAGGATTCTGATAGTCTTTGACTGCTGATTCAAGGATTTGTCATTTTTCCTTGTATATCTTGTTGTTCTGGGCTCTTTGTTATATTGCTGTAGAGGTTTGCAAAGTGATTTCTCAACATATCACCATTTTGGATAGCCAATGATGAGGTTTGTTTAATTTATTCCAATTCTCCCAGAAGTGGTTTGATTCTATGGATTCCTCAATTACATCCAGCTGATTTCTAATGTGCTGTTCCTTTTTTGTTCTTAGGGTGTGTTTTGATTTCCCCATATTGAAGGACTATGTTTTTGTTCTGGTTCTCTGTGTTTTTGATTTTATATATATTATTATATTTTGATTATCTCAATGACTTCCTTAGATTTTTGCAATCATCTACATTGACACAGCCCCTCTCTCTCTCTCAACAGCTCCATCCCCTTCTCTCTGTATTGAATATCTGCTGCATGGAGACTGATCACTAACTTGTCTGTCGGCCCTGCATTAAAGACCAACATTGGCTAAAGAAAATTGTGATAAATAAAAAAGTATACCAGTTTCATTTAAGGACCAAAATATTGACAGCTGTGCCATACAGATTGCAAAATAGTTGGGATGAGATGTTTGATGTACTGATTCCATGGCATAGTGTTTATGAACTGATACACAAAACTACGCTGGATTCAAAAATACTTTTTCAATTTAAATTATTATATAAAATTCTTGCAACCAATAGAATGTTATATATATGGGGGATACAACCATCCCAGCTCTGCATATTTTGCTGTGAAGAGACAGAATCATTAGCTCATTTGTTTTGGTACTGTCCATATGTAGCTTGTTTTTGGTCGCAGGTTCAGGAATGGCTGAAGAATTGCAACATTTACCTGGAGCGAACTTTGCAAATTGCACTGCTGGGTGATTTAAAAAGCCATAGTCAATCGATTACTACAAAATAAAAATAAAAATAAAAGGAATCTGATTAACATTGCTGAAGACAAGTTCATCGGGCCGGAGTGAATGCGGTATATCAAAGAATCACTGGAGATTTCTATTTCAATTATTTGTAGATTTATTCCCTAATATTTACAATTCTAAGGGATTGAAATCAATATGCCAGAACAGTCTTGGGGCGTGTCCCCCTTCAGGCGTCTTGCAGATGTCCGCTGTCCTGTGGTGCTTAAATATCAGGTCGTATTAGGATTTGCTTGTTGTCACCACAAACAGACACAGTTCAGATGTCTCAATCCAGTGCACGGTATTAACACTCAAAATAAAACTAGCTTCCAAGTACATAAATAGATCGTTTTAATACTGTGTGTCTTTCTCTTTGAAGGCAAAATATACAGTGACAGGTCCAGCACTAGTCTGTACGGTCTCTTCAGCGGTTATTACCATCAGACAGCCCATGCCATATGCCAAACACGGGATACCTGCAAGACAGGGGCAGCAATTACATTCGTTTTGTGTTGCACTCTGTTTGCAGTAGACTGTATAGTTTAAGGCCTATATGTACAATTCTGGGACAAAAAAAAACATTCATGATATGAATAAGAAGTTATTCTAGAAATGAGGGGAAACAACTAGTTAACTGTCTACTAAATCAATATGAAACAGGTTCAGGTTCAAGAGACAGTATTAAATAATAGTCTCCCCTTGGCTTCTTTTCCCCACTGACCTAGATTGATGACTTTCAACATGCTGAAAAACGTGTCTTCATAGTCTAAGTTCTGTGCTGGTGCTTTGGAACAGTGGTACTTGATAAAGGGGAAACACCCCGTCCTCAGTATCTGGTAGTTGGTTCCCTTTACCGCCCAGTTGAAGTTGGACCTCCCGAACTGGTCGTTGGTGACGACGCCGTAGTGAACACAGAAGGAGGTCCAGGGAGGGAGGTTCCGCTGTAGCAGGTGACGGGTCAGCACCTCCGAAGCTGCGGGACGCGGCCGTCCTTGCCTCCGCAGTGCGCTCGGAAACAGAGCGACTTTGAGGAATATGTTGTGTATCCGCCGGAGTACTTCTCTCATGCTATGGATCATAGCTTTATTGATTGGCAGGTGGTTTTACCTGTAAGACCGCTAGCTAGCTAGCTTATGATACCTGTATAATGTTAGTGCAGAGGGGATAAAGTGTGGACGTTCTTCAAAGCACGAATACCTTCTAATGTGTGTCTTATTCATTAATGTCATATTTTATAAGCAATGTCACTTGCTACGCCCACCAAGCTAGCTCTAGTTATCTAGCTAGCTAGCTTTCCACGAGCCGAACAGTTTTGTGCATTATTTGTCAAACGGTCTCCTCTTAAGAGCAAGACAACATGTTCCATAAACATGTAACCTCAAGTCCGTTGTTGTTCCATCACAGAGTTTAAAAACCTTTCTATCGATCAACTTTTAACTCACCCTTGTAACTGAACCGGCAATGTGTTCCGTCCGACTAGCAACACAGAACATCGAACTTTTGTTCCTAGCTGAAGGTTGAGTTTCCCCCATAGTGATCTTAATTCTCTATATATCCCTATCTACATTAAATGTATATTTTAATCTATAATAACGTTTGTATCTTCTTAATAACTTGAGTTGCTCTAAATAAATACAACTTTATCTTTCATATTGTAGCCTAAACATAATTTTACATTTTAGTCATTTAGAGCAGATGCTCTTATCCGGAGCGACTTACAGTTAGTGCATACCTTTTTTCATACCCCCCGTGGGAATCGAACCCACAACCCTGGTGTTGCAAGCGCCATGATCTACCAACTGAGCTACACGGGGAACACACTAACCCAGGTGTTCAGGGATAAAATGTAGCTACAGCCTCTGGAAAGGATGGTATACCTTCCCTGGTCCCTGGGATTTATTCTGGACTGTCATTCCCTGGTCCCTGGGATTTATTCTGGACTGTCATTCCCTGGTCCCTGGGATTTACACTGGACTGTCATTCCCTGGTCCCTGGGATTTATTCTGGACTGTCATTCCCTGGTCCCTGGGATTTATTCTGGACTGTCATTCCCTGGTCCCTGAGCTTTATTCTGGACTGTCATTCCCTGGTCCCTGGGATTTATTCTGGACTGTCATTCCCTGGTCCCTGGGATTTATTCTGGACTGTCATTCCCTGGTCCCTGGGATTTATTCTGGACTGTCCTTCCCTGGTCCCTGGGATTTATACTGGACTGTCATTCCCTGGTCCCTGGGATTTATTCTGGACTGTCATTCCCTGGTCCCTGGGATTTATTCTGGACTGTCATTCCCTGGTCCCTGGGATTTATACTGGACTGTCATTCCCTGGTCCCTGGGATTTATTCTGGACTGTCATTCCCTGGTCCCTGGGATTTATACTGGACTGTCATTCCCTGGTCCCTGGGATTTATACTGGACTGTCATTCCCTGGTCCCTGGGATTTATTTTGGACTGTCATTCCCTGGTCCCTGGGATTTATTCTGGACTGTCATTCCCTGGTCCCTGGGATTTATTCTGGACTGTCATTCCCTGGTCCCTGGGATTTATTCTGGACTGTCATTCCCTGGTCCCTGAGCTTTATTCTGGACTGTCATTCCCTGGTCCCTGGGATTTATTCTGGACTGTCATTCCCTGGTCCCTGAGCTTTATTCTGGACTGTCATTCCCTGGTCCCTGGGATTTATACTGGACTGTCATTCCCTGGTCCCTGAGCTTTATTCTGGACTGTCCTTCCCTGGTCCCTGGGATTTATTCTGGACTGTCATTCCCAGGTCCCTGAGCTTTATTCTGGACTGTCATTCCCTGGTCCCTGAGCTTTATTCTGGACTGTCATTCCCTGGTCCCTGGGATTTATTCTGGACTTTCATTCCCTGGTCCCTGGGATTTATTCTGGACTGTCATTCCCTGGTCCCTGGGATTTATACTGGACTGTCATTCCCTGGTCCCTGGGATTTATTCTGGACTGTCATTCCCTGGTCCCTGAGCTTTATTCTGGACTGTCATTCCCTGGTCCCTGGGATTTATTTTGGACTGTCATTCCCTGGTCCCTGGGATTTATTCTGGACTGTCATTCCCTGGTCCCTGGGATTTATTCTGGACTGTCATTCCCTGGTCCCTGGGATTTATTCTGGACTGTCATTCCCTGGTCCCTGAGCTTTATTCTGGACTGTCATTCCCTGGTCCCTGGGATTTATTCTGGACTGTCATTCCCTGGTCCCTGAGCTTTATTCTGGACTGTCATTCCCTGGTCCCTGGGATTTATACTGGACTGTCATTCCCTGGTCCCTGAGCTTTATTCTGGACTGTCCTTCCCTGGTCCCTGGGATTTATTCTGGACTGTCATTCCCAGGTCCCTGAGCTTTATTCTGGACTGTCATTCCCTGGTCCCTGAGCTTTATTCTGGACTGTCATTCCCTGGTCCCTGGGATTTATTCTGGACTTTCATTCCCTGGTCCCTGGGATTTATTCTGGACTGTCATTCCCTGGTCCCTGGGATTTATACTGGACTGTCATTCCCTGGTCCCTGGGATTTATTCTGGACTGTCATTCCCTGGTCCCTGAGCTTTATTCTGGACTGTCATTCCCTGGTCCCTGGGATTTATTCTGGACTGTCATTCCCAGGTCCCTGAGCTTTATTCTGGACTGTCATTCCCTGGTCCCTGAGCTTTATTCTGGACTGTCATTCCCTGGTCCCTGGGATTTATTCTGGACTGTCATTCCCAGGTCCCTGGGATTTATTCTGGACTGTCATTCCCTGGTCCCTGGGATTTATTCTGGACTGTCATTCCCTGGTCCCTGGGATTTATTCTGGACTGTCATTCCCTGGTCCCTGGGATTTATTCTGGACTGTCATTCCCTGGTCCCTGGGATTTATTCTGGACTGTCATTCCCTGGTCCCTGAGCTTTATTCTGGACTGTCATTCCCTGGTCCCTGAGCTTTATTCTGGACTGTCATTCCCAACACATCTTCTATGTCCCTAATCAGGTCCTGCAGTGGATACAGGGGAACAGGCTTTACAGTTTAGTAACAAACACACTCTCCATAACTTCATAACTCACAACTCAGGTATATACTGAACATTCACTTCACTATTAAGTTGTTCATCAAGTCATAATATGACTCTAATAATCATATTATCACACATTGGCTGTAACTTATTTTTGAGATTGTTAGCTCATTAAAAACGTAAGGTAAAGTGGAACTGACACCATGAAATCTTATTTAAAATCTGTTCATATTCACCCCCAGGAAGAACATGACACTTAGACATGGTCATTTTCACGTTTTCATAAATTCTTAGAATGATTAGGATTTACGTATACTGAGGCATTTGTGAAAATTCTATAGCAATATCGAGTGGGAAAGCGGCCGTGCATTTGGACAATTTATAGACACTGCAGTAAATAAAACCTAATAAAAAGATCTGTCTTGTCGAGGACCGGAGTCTACGCAGACCGGTGCGCCATAGCCAATCAGAGCTACAGTAGGCCTTCATGAAAACAAGCCATTTGCCACACGGGCCTGCCATCATTCACTTTGAACTGGACTGTGTGTTTACAGGCAGTTGCAACAGCGCGACTTCAGATCATAAGAACGCCTCCGCCAAATGCCACAAAATACACCTGAATGGATTTCTGCAAATGTTTCAATACCACGGGAGTCCTCTTACATTTAGAAGCGTTACAGTCCTATTGATCAAACAACCATGAAAAGGAAGGCTCTCTCTCCCTCAGTTATGCACATCAACAACAACAAGATCCACAACTAATGCTAGCCAGAGAAAGCTGAGCTCAAATCTAACGCAGGAACCTCTCAAATTTTTCAGCTAGTTGGCCGTCAAATAAACAACACTGATAAACGATGGGGAATAGTAGCCTGCTCGTCCTTCCGCAGCTTGCCAATGCATGCTTGTCCCAACCAAGCACCCAAGCTAACTGCCTAAAGTTGGCTAGCCTTCTAGCTACTTCCAGACACAACTGAGAGAACACCTCACTCTGACCATTTTACTCGCCCTAGCAGAGCCGGTCAGGCTGTTTACAGGTTATCCAGAGCGCTGGTGACTAACTATTGTTTTGCCTACGTTTACTGACACTGGTCATATTCAGCGGGTGTTGCGTAAATTCATCAGTTGTTCTGCGCTCTGGCACACAGACGAGAGTGCTCTGAAATCAGAGTAGATAGCCAGAGAGAATTAGCGAACGCAAAATATAAGCTAACTGGATAACAGTCGTTCAAGTTCTTGCTAGCTAACCAAATGACACCTGCATCTCTAGCTGTGTATAGCCACCGAATAACGATATGAGGGGGAAAAGTCAGTCACTCACCCACTCCTCCAATGGCATGACATGACATCCTCCTAGCAGCTAGCTAGCTAGCTAACGTTAGGCTACATGTTTTTAGCTTGCTACATAAACAGATACGCTAGCCTATTAGCCATGTTATGACTGACTTGTGATCATTGCCCTTGCTAGTTTGATTGTATTGACATTCCCAGCCTTAGTTACATTCGTCCGTTTTTGTCCAAATTATTGAGTCATTAAAACTGAAACATCAAGTATCCTGAAAGGAGGCAGCAGACAATGTACCAGGCCAGCTGTAATTTACAACCTGAAAGCAATATTTTTAGACCACCAAGAAATGTATTGGTGAATTATGTTAATCATGCATTGAACTGCATCCATCTATTCTGACAACAATGCCTTACTGTACGTCATGAAATGTTGAGTCAAATATAACCTATTTTTAAAACCTCTTAAGAAGTTAGTTTTGTGCTATGGTATGAATTTTGTGTGTAGTATGTTGTCTGTGTTGTTTCATACGAGCTACAGATAGATATGAAGAACTAAGAATTGTTAAATATATTAACACAGTATTAAAGATGATAATAACGCTGTGTGCACAGTGTAAGAAGATCGTGGCTCCCTGAGTAGGGGACTGTGACATATAGGTTTGACAAATGTGGTAACAGAGCGTACTGAACGATGCCTTGTGACAGGTACTAATGATGTGGTCGAAAAGGCCTAAGAACTTTGTGAAAAGGTGGCTTGTGCGTGACAGTCGGTAGGGATGATTTTGTGTGAGGTTGGGGTGGGTGGGGTGTGATTCAGAGTTAG